CAAGTTCGCACTTTAGGAAGATCATTCTGGCTTCTGAGTGGAACACAGATGCAGATAGGCATGAATGACCAAAAGGCGATCACCTATGAGGTCATTGCAGTAGTCAAGATAAAGAGAAGAAAATGATGAAGACAGGTTGTGTGGATATAAATGCATAGATTTAAAAGATATTTTAAAGGTAAAATTTGTCAGAATTTGGTGGTGTTTACCAAGATTCTGGCTTGAGCTTTCAGGTACATGGTGGTTTTATTTACTGAAATAGGAAACACTGAAGAGAAGGAGGGTAGATGAATCAAGAGTTCAATTTGGGGCAGGTTGAGCTGGCCTTCCTTTGTAATTCAGGAGTAAAGTGTGAGAAGATAGAAGGGCCTAGGGAAGACTGCTGGGGAGAATCTATGTGCTTAAGGGATGACCAGAGAAAGTGGAGAGAAAAAGTAGAACTGAGAAGGAATACTCAGGAAGTAGGGAGGAATACTAGGAGCATGGGTGTCATAGAAATTTGGAGGAAATTTTCAAAAAGGAGGAAATGATCGATAGTGTCAAATGCAGTTGAGGTCAAGTGAGATAAAAACAAAAATAGTATTATTTCAATTAGCACAAGGAAGTTGTTACAAACCTGGAAGAGAAATTCCCACAAAGACGTGGGATGTGGTAAAATTGGAGTAGATTAATGAGAAGGGAGTGGGAAAGAAAGCAAGTAGACAAATAGAAACAGCATAGTTCATGTTCAAAACTCTTTCAAGATTTCAACGCATCGAGGGGAAAAGGGGAGTTCAGAGCAGAAGTTTCTTTGTTTATTGAAGTAAGAGTGACTGATGCATGTTTAAACGTTGATGCAAAAGATCAGTATAGAGAGAAGCTGAATTGACAAAGAAAATACTCCGTAGTGAAATTTCCTTGAGAGGTTAAGAAGACAGATATTTAAGAGCAAAGGTAAAGTAATAGGTCTTACATAAGAGACATTGATATTCCTCCTTCCTGTTAGGTTGGAAATGAAGTGGATATGGATGACGTCTGTATAGACTTGATGGTGTAAAACTGAGGGACTTTCTGAATGGAAGTTTCTCTTTTATCTGAAAGATGAAAGGTGGTGTCTTTTATGGAAAATGAAAAGTATTGGTGAGAAGTGTCATAGGTCTGACAAAAATGAAAAATGTTTGAGATAGTCATTCTTAAATGAAAGAATGAGGTACTTGAATAAAATATTGGCAGCCTTGAGGGCTCAGTTGGGACTAGACAGCTATGTCTGATAATGTGGCATTGGTTGCCCTGTTGCCGTGATTTTTCACAGTTCTCTCCAGCTAGCTGCCCAAGTGCTCGCACAGAGAAAGACAGTTGGCTAATTAGAGATTGTGAGTTTGTGACATGGATATAATAGAAGCACTGTATGGCAAATAAGTGATTAAATTAATGTGTGAAGGATTCAAAGCTTGATAGGGAGGAAAGTAGAAACAGGAAAAGGCTGATGGATAACAGAAAATTGAATCATCAAAAGACTGTAGGTCCTGTAAATTCAAAGAGCAGACATACTGTGAATAAGTGAGAGTGGGATATTTTAATTAATAATCTCAGTGGTAGAGAGGGCAAGAAGAGTTGAATTTTGGCTTGTGTAAAAAGAAATCAAAAGTTATTGTTTCATTCATTTTTTTGACATCAAGACCATAAGATTAAATAAAACTACACTCAGATGCCATTTTTCACCTCAGACTGGCAGAGATGAAAATATTTGATAATACACTGTCAGCAACAGAGTACAGACTACAACAGAGAAACAGGCATTCTAATATACATTGCTAGTAACTGTAGATTGATATGATCTCTATGAAGGGCAATTCCAAAAATTCAACCAAAATTTCAAGTATGTATGTCCCATGATGCAGCAGTTCCATTTGTAAGGATTTTACCTAAAATTAGTTTGCTTATGTGAGAAATGTCAGATGTACAAAGTTGCTTATTGAAACATAGTTTGTACTGTATAAAGACAAGGTTGGAATCAACCTGAATGTCCTTAAATTGGCAAATAGTTAAGTAAACTATGATCTATCTGTACAATAGAATTCAGAGAATTCACAGAAAATGATTCAAGGATAATCTTTTACGTTAATACGTAACAAATTCTAACATATTGTTAAATAAAGCAGTATGTGATTATTTGTATAAAAGGAGGGAAAAAAGAAAAAGCAATATATATAATTGAAATATATAATGTAAAAACTATAAAATATATATAATTAAAAATACATAAAATAATATATTGAATGATACATAAGAAAACTGAAAAATTAGTTGCCTTTATAAAGAGGAATTAAGTGGCCAGGAAAAAAGGATAGAAATTTTATCACTCTATCTCTTTCTATGCATTTTAAATTTAGACCCACATTATTAAATTTCTAATTCAGTTAATTAATTAAATACATTCATTTTATTGTGTGTTTTAGTACATTATAAATTATGTATGTTTTACATGTAAACACGTAAAACATGTAGGCTTAACTCAGAATTTGTTCCTATAAATCACTATATGTGTGTATATTAAACAAAAGACAGAAAAACAGATATCAAAAAATATTTTTAAAGGTATAAAATATACGACAAAAATAAAGGAAAATATATCAGTTAAGAGTAAGGGGGTTAGTATTTCTTATAATTAATAAAAACAACAACCATAACAACAGATTAAATGCGTTGATCTCACAAATATTTAAATATACTATTTTGTTTAATTCTCTAATCCTATGAAGAAAGTACTTTTATTATGCTTACTAAAAGAGATGAAGAAAATGAGAGTGAATAGGATTAATTAATTTGCAAAAGAACAAATAGCTAAAAATGAAGAATTATGTCTGCCTCCAAAATCAGCAGAGTATTATATTAAATATAAAATTATAAACCTCTTAAAGAAAAATACGGCCATACCGGCTTAAAGAATAACAATCCATATGCTACTTACAACTGCAAAAACAAAATCACAAATATGTTAAAAATAAAATAAATTATATATATATGTCAGATAAATATAAACAATAACAGAAGAAGTGACTGAGAATAGTAGGTGCTAAATCAAAATTTTTCAAAAATAGGAAAAAAGTAAAAAGGAAGGGTTGGAGGAAAACAGAAATGGAGGGAGGGAGGGAAGGAGAAAAAGAAGGATTTGTAATAGAGCAGTAGGATTTTAACTTATGCTAAAGGTGGTCTAGGCAATTTGAGCCAACCATCTCACTGAAGGCAACTAAACAAAGAAATAGAAAAAGATATCTTAAAGTATCAATGCCCTAATGATACAGTAAGGAATAATTTTGCCCAAATCTTGAAGCTCAAAAGAGGAAGCCTAGTTTACTAAGCCACTTTTTCCTTGAGGGCATTTGCAAAATGAGTTTTGATGGATTTGCAGGGAAGGAGTACAGAAGCCAAAGTTAGCCCAAGATAATTAATCCCCTTCAAACTAGCCAAGGTCTGATATAACTTCCAAAGTGTTCCATCTTCAGAGTGAATTGAAAATAAAATACCTCTCATGTAGATTTGTGGCCTGCATACATATCACCAGAATGGCCCAGAGGGTAGCACATAAGGACCAAGAACCAGCAGAAATAAAAGATCTCTAACACCAACTCACAAAAACTTGAGATAGTGGAGTTATCAGAATTTATAGTTATAAAATAACTAGGCTTACTATGTTTAAGAGGAGAGAAAACATGCTTGGAAATATCTTCAAGGAGGGAAAAAAAACAAAAAAAAAGCAAATTAAGCAAGAGGCCATAAAACTAGAAATAAGAACTCACATTAAAACAAATACCCATAAACAAGGTTTAAAATACTCTGTTTAGGGCTTCCCTGGTGGTGCAGTGGTTGAGAGTCCGCCTGCCGATGCAGGGGACGCGGGTTCGTGCCCCGGTCTGGCTGGGCCCATGAGCCATGGCCGCTGGGCCTGCGCGACCAGAGCCTGTGCTCCGCGGCGGGAGAGGCCGCAGCACTAAGAGGCCCGCATATCGCAAAAAAAATAAAAAAATAAAATAAAAAAATAAAATAAAATACTCTGTTTAGATCAAAAAATAAAATTAAAACCTAAGAAATTATGAAATATTGGTTTAAAACAGCATCTGACTGGCATCTCTTAATGCAGCTTGTTCAAATTTTCCCATAATATAGCTTTTGAAGTGTCAGAAAAAGACAGGATAAAAGAGAAAAGTTAGACTGATAATGGTAATGCCAGAATCTGTAGGGAATATCCACAAAACTATTCGGCTGATAGAACTAGAAAAAAATCCACTTAGGCTTTTCCTCACTTATATCTGAGAGTTGCCACATAAAACAGACACAACTTTAAAAGAGATATTAAGAAAATATTTCATATCTTCATCATTGCCTTCTGATCCGAGCATCCAATGAGAAGACACTTATAATCTGTATATATAGCCTTTCTCTTCTTCCTTGCAAACAACCTTCAATTTTGCTTTCGGAAGCAACTAGTCCAGCTAAAAATGACACTTTCCAGCTGAACTTGCAATTAGGACCGGCCTTGTAACTTCATTCTAGCGAATTAATGTAAGAAGGGATTAAATGGGTAGAATTTTCAGGAAAAAGAATTTTAAGTGGCAGATTCTCATTGCACATGTTTATACCCATTTTATTTGCTCTTTTTCCTGCTTGTATGGCAATACGGCTGCTATCTTGTCACCCCAAGGACAAAAGCCTCATGGTAAGGATGGTGGAACAGTGAGACACAGCCAAGTCCTGGTGGCATCATTGTATCTTCATACCGGCCCTGGCTGCCTGTGTCTCCTTGTGGCCTTTTTGTTACATGAAAAACAAGCAAGCAAAAACACATGCCTATATGTATAAAACCACTGTCAGTTGTTTTTCTGATACTTAATGGTGAACTCTTTTTGTAATTTATATATTTGGGGTTTAGAACTCAGAGAAAACTGAAGAGTTACCTTCTACCATTGAAGGCTGCCTTCTGAGTGGTTAGAGGGCCTCTGTTCCTCCATGCTCCTGCCACTCAGAATACATTTCAACTCCTCAGGCTACATTCAAAGCTCTGTAGTCAGACATACTCCACTATTCAATCATTTGGCTGGATGTTCCTTATCATTAGTCCAACATGTTTCTGTCAAGAAAACTGCAAAGCCAAAGACAGTTCTGACCTCCAGTCTTTGTAAGTCACTCCTGTAAGATTTCCCAGACTGTCTTGTTCTCGTCGATTTCTCCCTTCTATGAACTCTCTTTGTACTTACTAGCTATATCACTTTGTCACTTAATAATACACCCTTCTATGATGTTATTTATGTCACATGTATATATCCTGTATTTTCAACCAGATTGAATATTTTTAGATACATCTCCTTCAACACTTAGTACAGTGCAATAGGTAGGACATGTCTAACATCTTTGAATAAATTATGAAAAAATGATGAATAAATAAATCTTTTCACATTCTTGATTATAGTGATGATGATGCAAGTTTCTTTTCTAAAGGCTTATCACATCTTTCCCATTTCTACTTACTCCAAAAGAATATGAGGCATAACATGATAATACATCCTAGTGAATCACCTAGGCAACTCCATAATGGCATCCTTCAGAATACTGGACACCTGTTGTTTCTTATCCTCTCATATGAAACATCCTGTAATAATAAAGAAAAATGCATTACTGTGTGGCATCATTCTTTGTTTTCATCCATGTGAATTTTGTAATATTAAAATGGTTCTAGAAATACGGATATTATAAAATATTTTTAAATTGTTGTTTGTTTCATACTGAAGTGCAATAAAATAATTTGTTTCATTTTTCAAATGGAATAGAAAGTACTGTAATTCTTATTTCAATTTTAGATTTTTTAAAGTAATGTATAATTATACTCTTTTACTAATGGGAACTAACATTTGCGAGGCATTTGTATTTATAAGGTGCTTTCACATCTATATCCTCATTTATAACTCTCAGCAAGATGGCAATTATTTCCATTCATATATGAAGAAACTCAAATATGTAAAGTGACCTACAGTAAGTGTCCAAACTGGAAAGTGTTCACAGGTCTTTTGATTCCAAATCCAAAGTGCATTTCAATATTCCCTTTGGGCTTCAAAGGAAGAGCTTCCATTGAATATTAAATTTAAGATCGGGAATAATAAGGTCTTTCTATGGGTTTAAAGTTTAACCCCTTTCTACTTTTTTTTTGTGAAAGAAGGAGTCATTACTATCTGACATGGTATTTAATAGCATAATATCTAGAGGCAGAATACCTGGGTTTGCAGTCTTATTAGTTATAGGATGCCAGGAAAGTTATTTAACTTCTCTTGTGCTTCCAATTCCTAATCTGTGAAATCAATGCAATAATAGCACTTAGCTCATGGAATTTATGTGAATTATAAAGTGCTCACCACAGTATCTATCATCATACAGTCAATTTTCAAAATGTTATTATCACTATTATTTCTTAAAGATGACTAGCACTTAATTCTGAATAATATTTATTATCTATATACTATGCCCTGCACGTGGCACATTATCTTTGTGTCTCATTTAATTTTCCAAGTATTCAATCCTGCAAGGCAAATGTGATTATTCTCATTTTACAAATAAAGATACTGAAGTTGACAGTGCATGGCTAGGTAGCAAGTCCAAGGCTTCACCCACAGGTATTCTGCCTACGTTCATCTAATCTCAACCCTTGTTCTTTTCATCTCTGTCTCCTGCCTCTTTGATTGGGCAAATGGACTGAATTTCATGTGTGCCTTAGTTTGGTAAACTCTTAGAGATGGTGTGTACAGTGTTCCCAGAGGACAGAATGCTGTTCTCCCCCAGCATGGGATCAGAGAGTCTTTGTGCTCAGCCAATGCACTGACTGAATCAGGACTGCCTGTGCTGCCCAAGTATAGTCCCAGGAGGAAGGTTGCTGTTTACCCCAGGTTCTCTGATCATTTTATGCAACTCCAGTAGCCACTGCTTTCAACAATGATTCTCTTACTCTAGCTGAAACGAAGATCAGACTGGGAGATAGATTTATGCTGAGAATGCTGAGCTTAATCTTTCCCTCTCACCACCACCTCCATCCAATATAGACAACTCTAAGAAATCTAATGGATTTGAAATAATAATATACTTAAATTAATTTAGGTACCTTATCTTTTGTTTACTAATAAAAATCTTCACCATACAATTTACTTGTGAAGAGTTGTGAAGTGGTTAAGAGAAATGTAATTTACAGAACTGTAGAAATAATGTAAAAAAATTTCAAGGTATGGGAACAGGCTGGAAGTAGCAGGAGGTCTCTAAAGTGGGACCTTGGTTTAGGAGGTAGCTGGATTGGTTTAGGAATTAAGATTACAGTGGGTATAAATCCTGGTCTCTAAATGCAAGTTTGCAAGATAGGGTCCATTATTTTCTTTCAGTCAAATTAAATCTGATTTTCTCACATCACTCATTTGTCAAGAAACTCCATTCCAGTCTTAACTGTATCTCCCAAGATAGTATAAGTCAAAGAAGTAACTGGTCCATGGTGCTTGGATGGAAGAGGAAGGACCTCTAGCCTCTTGTCCGTTATGGCCACCATGGTCACCCTCATTTTCAAAACCTACAGTGTCTAAAACACCAGAGGGTCTTTGCTCTGGACTATATGTTTGAAACAGGAATATTTCCCAAGGTCAAGAATGGTAAAGCATACAGTTCAGCATCCCTAGGTAAATTATATGGCTGTCCCTTTTCATGTCTTTCCTCCTCAAGGCACAATCGCTAAGTGGCAGGACATTGTTTCCTCTATTCCAATCCTTACCTATTTTCCAGTTTCTTTTATCATCTTAAAATATCTTTCCCTCTCCCTTCTAATAACTCGTATTCCTTTCAAAGTTATTTCCTTCTCCTCAAAAGCAATAATCACAACTTCTTCAATAAATTTTTTAAAAATTTGAAAACAAAGAATATTTAACAGCTAATTTTTCACCATCTGAGGTTAAGTGAAAACCTGCATGGCACAAAACTGTAGATGTCAGGTGAAAATATTCATTTAGTATTTGTGTACAAATTCATATATAGACAAAAAAAAACTAGAAAAAATACATCAAAATGCAAAGACTGAGAAAACATATCAAAATGCTAACAATAGTTATTTTTATCTTTATACAGATTTTTTTTTCCATATTTGCTGGAGTCTCGCTGGGGGTATAGTAACAGGAAGCTGGAAGGTGCAACAGCAGACCAGAAGAAGAAGCATATAACTCTACCTGAGGAGGTTATGAAATGACCTAGTTGTGGTCTCCCCAGCATCCTCAGTCAATGGCTAGAAGTATCCCTGGGGAGCATGTGACTCAGTTTAACACTGCAGAATACTCAAAGTTGTGTCGGATGGAGACTGCCACCCAACAACCGTCTTTGCTGTAGACTCTCCTAGAGATCTAAGCAATGAACCTTCACTGGCTTGCATAGTCTACCCACTGGCACTGCAATGATCCACGAATCTATACTTGTTCAGGAGAAGCTCCTTTATGGTTCTTGTGGACATCTCCACCTGAGGGGAAATTTAGAAGTGGAAGTTAGTAGAATGAACTTCAGAACTATAGCACCCATTTGTTCAGCTGGTGTCAGGGCCACACAGGTACTCAACTTCCCCCTCCTCCACTATCCATTCTAAATTCCTCTTTCAATTATCACCGTTGCAGGACTTCGGGATATACTAGGTGGTGTGACTCAAACCCTCATTCTTAAGTGGTCTGGGCTGTTGGTAATATTATCCTTCTTAAGCCAGGGTTGCTGCATGTGTTACAATTACAAATAGCATGGCACTTATAATTGACATGGGTAGTTACAATTGGTGTGGGAGAACGAAGAGATGTCCAATTGGATTATCTAGGCCCCACGTGTATTATTCCTTACCTCTATTAAGTATAAGCAACCCTACTTCCTCCTGTTTATCAGAAGCAATCATTTCTTATACACAAAGAATCCAAAGTGCAATCATATCTTGTATTTCAATGAGATCTTTGTTGTGTTCCCTGGCAAGAGTATGCTCCCTTCACAGATCGGGATCACTAAACCTGCATAGCCTAGAGCTGTCAGAACAGGAAACACAAATTCCTCCTGTGAGGTTGGGGCCGGGGGCTGGGGGGATGGGCACAATTTCATTTTATTCTTATGATGGACTAATGTTGCGCCAAACTGAATCATATGACTTAATTTCAGCAAAACTCTACTAATAGTCAGCAGCTCTGGACAGAGAGTCACATAGTACTCTAAGGCTAAGTACCCTGTTTCAGTAGGGCCCAGTGACATCCCAGAAACTATTATTAGAAAGGTGTATAACTCTCTGCAGCAGGTAGCATGGTTCTGCTCTAGAAGCAGAGCCTGCATTGTGGTTCTCCCACTGGGGCTTACCATTAATTCTACCCTGAATCTTTTTCTACCCCTGAAAACTTAACATCAAAAGGTCTGCTGGATTGCATTTGCAGTTAAGCCTGCTACAGAGCCTTTACCTGTTTTGGCCCCATTCAACACTGCCAGTAGGTATATGGATCATAGAAGTATTCCCAGGTTTGGAATGTATTGCCTTCACCACTCAAAGAGGCCTAGCGGGTGCTATGCTTTCTTATTTATAACATGAAATGCAAGATTCAGTGATAGGTCTTTTATTTCAGGGGTGATATGCTAGCATGCCCCTGATAATGCCCCTAAATCTTTACTGAAGTAGCTAGTTCCTGAATTTCCACAGGGTTATTTATCACCCTTAGGGGTACGTGTCTCTTACAAAGGTCTCCACCATGCTAACCAGCTCTTGCTCATTTTGCCTAGTCAGTCTGTGGTCATGGGTTTAATAAATCAATATCATATACTGCAGAATGTCCAACTGGCCCAGATTCTTCAGACTATATTATGGCCAAGCATGAGGGAGTTAACATAGCCCCAGGGCAAAACTGAATGAAAATATGAAGTGTTTTCAGAAAAAGAAAACTGCATTTGCTAAATCAAAAGCCACGTACCAAACATCTGAGACCGTCTTAATCTGTTATAGTAATGATTCTGTATTCATCAAGTAAGCTGCAATTTGGGCTACTACTTTTTTGAGCTTGAAGCAGTCTACAGTCATCTTCAACACATCTGGTCTGTTTAGGGGTTTGACCAGTGAATTAAATGGAAATATGATAGATACCACCACCCTGCAGCCTTTAGGTCTTTACTGGTGACACTAATCTCAGCCAACTCCTGTGATAAATTGTTGTTTTTAATTTTCTACATTGGCCAGGAAGGCAGGAGGAGCCAGTTTCAGCGACTTCCACTTGCCTTCCCCACTATGACAACTATTACCCCATAGGCCAAGGACCTAATATGGTGGTTACTTAAGTTGCCAAGAATTTTAATCCTTGTTATCAATTTTGGGACTAGGAAATGCCCACCAACCCAATGTAAACCAGACTTTATCCAAGATTCCATTTATCACCTGTCTCCTGTAAGCATGTTTCCAGTACATAGTCATCTAAGTAAATGGCTATAGACAGTGATGTACTGATAAATACTTTAACAATTAGCCCTCTGGGGATGGGTAGTGGGGAGAGGGAGAACAACCTCTTCCATAACGTTTTCTGATTTCCAGGGTGTAAATACTCCCACCATGGCCAGTTTCAGGCTTCCATCAAAGATCTCCGAAGAGACGCACATTTCAACTCTTTGGACCTGATAAGAGTCAGCTCCAGCACACTACTGGCTGTAGGTCCTTTTAGGGTAGAATTGCCACAGTATTATAGAATCTTACCCCTGACAACCCAGCCATGTGTTTATTCAGTGGATTCCAGATCTGAAAATTGACTCAGGTTCAGGAAGTGAGCCTAGCCCTCAACTTCCTGTTTCTCCATTCCTGCCTTCTTCTGATTGTAGATATTATGTAGCATCCTTGTTCGTTGTCCATCTGTTTTGCCCCTTGGGATACCATGTTCTTTTAAGCACCTCCACAACTCTGTGGTCAAGCCCCCTTGACATTACCAGTTGTGATGGTAATTGTAGCTGACTGGCTCCTGGTGAATAAGCACTGCCAATTGTCCTCTATTATTTTGGGGCTCTATCATTCTTATAGCCATAAAGGAATCCAGCTCTGTGACTGCTTTTCCTATCATTATACCTAGTCTTTAGGGAAAAGTAACCATTTAACTTATTAGTGAAGCTTGTGCCTTTACACCAGCACATCCCTGACAGCCTTGGTGAATGTCGTATCCTCTGGACCTATGCATAATTCTTTGATGAGTCCTCTGGCCTCACAAAATATATCCATATCAGAATGTTCACTCCCTGAGCCTTTCCATTTCTTCCTCTACCACTTGCCAAGACAGTTCAGGCATTTCTATTTCACTCCTTGTGGACCATCACTTTCTCTAAGTTCTAAGAGCCACCCTAGGAGTAAATTTTCCCTACCTCCTAGCATAACTTGTCAAGAAGTTAAATTCTGTGTCCTGAGAAAGTGCTTCCAAGTTAGTGAATTCTTGCTTATTCAATATTATTTATGGACCCCTTAATCAAGCACCCTTAAAATCCAATCCCAGACATTATTCTTTATCTCCTGCTATAAGCGTGCTAGCTTATTCTTGCAGGTTCTTTGGGGGTATAATCTTCCCTTCCTTATTAGGCTCAGCCCATCTCCACCTGGGTTATGCTGAGATTCAATCCTAAGAATTGGCCTGAAAGCCAGGAAAAGAGATGGGGGTAATGCTGTTGACTTGCAGGGGAGAGAAATCTATATTGTATTCCCATATTGGAGAAGTTCTAGCTCTTATTAGGAAGGGGTTGGCTACTTCATCAAGCTCTAGGTTCTAAGTCAAATTTCTTAGGGTGGCAGCCCCCAGATAACCCTATCATGTATTTCAGTAGTCCTAGGTTTTCCCAAACAGGGCCCTGACCTTAACATAACAGATCTCTCCAGACTGAGCATTTAAAATTCTGTGGAGCTCTTATATTAAGGTCTGATCTTACTCCTCAGTTGTGCCCACTCTTCTACTACATGAAATAAGGGCCAAGAGCCCTGTGGCTCTCATACATAATCTTTTTAACTACTCTCATTTTTTCAATATACCTCTGTTAAGCATCAATACAACTTATTAATAACCAGCCAACTGCCCTGTTCCTCTAGATATTGTTCCAGTCACACTTTTGAAATTCCTGAATCATCTCACTGTCGAGGTCTTTACACCAGACTTTTTACTAGGACTTTTTTACCAGATCAGTACTAGTAAAAGTTTCAGCCATTGGCCTATCACCTTGTGACAGGTTTTTCCATGCCTGACATCTACATGAGATGTAGTTCCTCTTGACATCTAGGCAGTGAGTGAGTCAGTCCTCAAGCTCCATCTTACATACAACCTAGTTTCTTAGGCCATTGCTGGTATCATTGATACAATTCTCCAGGAAAAAAGATGCCAATGTGGATTCAGACATGCAAGACATTTACTGGGGGTAAAATTTCTGTGAAAAATAAAGGAGAGAAGAAGGTAGCAGAAGGAGTAGGCATTGAAAGAAATGATAAACTCATACTGGAGTAGGCATTGTGAGGACCCCTGCCCTGACGGTAGAGGAAGTTCTTCAATTAAACCTCAGTTATGCTTTCTTGGAAAAACTTCCTCACCCATTTGTTTTCCATGGACATTGACTTGATTCTCTGACAGGAATAGGGTTTTTGACTATTACCTCCTATGTCATATCCATAATGACTACTAGGGACTATTCCTTCCCTGAGGGATAGTCGGGCAAGTTTGGAAGCCCAAAGTTTATGACTTGAATAGTCACAAAGTTTATTAGACTAGGCTCATGGTTTCTTTTGCAAAATAATCTCCTCAAAAATTTAGAAATCTCCAGATATATTTGTTTCCTATCAACTTCATGTGCCCACAGCTCTACCCATAAGTTCTTTTCTAAACATAGCACATAAGCTAACATTGTTTCCTTGCTTTCTCCCATGCCTCCATTTTACCTTAATTTGCATCCATTGAGACCATTTGAGTATAGGCTTGACTGAGAAGTCCATACCTCAATCTTCTCTTTTGCAGGAGGGCTAGGTCCCTTTGCTTGAAAATCTTCATGAGAGACGTTTGAGCAACAAAAGTCCTCTCTCTTGACATATGAGGTACAAAATTTTTCTAAACCTGCAAGGTCCCAAAAGAAATTTCGCTTCCTTTTAATCTCTGCTGGCAAACCTACCAATTCTTGACTAAGTTCATTTTCTTCCCTGCTATACCTTGTTAAAAGCGTCATGGAGTAGACAACACAGAAAATTTTGACTCTTTACAAACACTTCCCTTAAAGTTTTAGGCCTAGTAAGCATTCATCCTGCCTTCAAATTTATCACAGGCAATTGACTTACCAAACACTTTACCACAACGTCCAAGGATGGCAGATTTCAAGCTTAACTGCTAAAACAATGCCACATAGTTTGGGTTTCTCTTACGGTCAGAATATGGCTTGAAGTTACAAATTCTAGATAATAGAAAAGGTGATCTAATAAAAGAATCAAAAAATTCAGTGGCTTAAGAACTATACAAGTTTATATCTTTCTCATGAAATATTCTAGAGAGGGTGTTTCATAGGGTTAGCAATTGATAGTAGCCCTACCATCTTCAACATTGTGGCTCTGATCACCATCTTTTCAAGCCTACAGAGCATGGAGGCACACATATAGAAGTCTAAAAGAGGCATAAATTACTTCTGCTCACATAGTATTTGGGGGAATTTATTCACGTGAGATCATTCCAAGGGGCTTGAGGAATGTATTGCTACAATTCTAGCTATAATTCTATCAGTATGAAAGAAGATAATAATGTATTCTCATTGACAGCTTACACTAAGCTTTCTGAACAGTGTCAGGTATTTCAAATTATTTTCTCAGATTCAACATGTCCAGAACATAACTCATTATTTTCCCACATATTCAACTCTTCATCCTGCTTTTTCTACATCTGTTAATGGCATCACCATTCATCTAGTTATCCCTTCTCAACATATTGGAGTGATGGTTGGCTCTTTCCTCTCTTTCATTACCCATATCCAACTGGATGCCAATAAATTACTTGTTCTTCTTGGTTGGTGCCCTCCACATCATTCTCTTTTTTCTGTTTCCAGCTCACCAATTTAGGCTAGTCCTCATGACTACTTACCTCAATTGTTGTGATGACTTTCTGAGTTGTCTGCACAGCTCCAAATGTTTCCCAGTTTTCCATATAACCTGATGAAGTAGTCTTTCCAAAGCATATCTCTGAACTATTACCTTTATGTTCAGTAGTTCCTCAGGGCCTATACAAAATTATATACAAATTAACCTGCTATCCAATCTGAATAGTCTTGTATTCTATGTCTTTGGTTTGTAATCCAAAAAGGATTAGCTGCCAATGCCCAAATAAATGCATGTGTTTTTCTACTTCCAAGCTTTTGCTAATCTTATTCTGCATTTGAAATTCACTTTTCCCCTATTTTTAGAGAAAGCATAGGCTCTGGCAACCTGATTTCTAATCTTAGCCCCACCACTAGCTTGTTGACCTTGACAGGTTATGTAATATCTCTGAGCCTCTGTTTCATCACTTCTAAAATGAGAATAAAAAACCCACTTCACAGGGTTGTTTTTAGGAATAAATACAATTAACTTCAAAAAAGTGCCTATAGATAAGTATTCAATTAAAGTCAATTTGCTTTCTCTCTATTGAAATTGTGCCTATTTCTATTATTACTTGCTCCATTAAGTCTATTGTATTAGTTACACTATTGCTAGTCTTGTCACAGATAAATTCCCAAATATCACTGTGCTTGTGTAGTTGGGTTTGTTTTCTTAAACCTCTGCTATTGTCACAAGATAAGCATGTCCTGTGTAGTCCACTGGTCTAAGGTGAATAAGAGATATACAGAATAGATCTCAACACAATGTGTAGCTTAAAAGAAGTACAGCTAAGACCTTAGTCTAGCCAAATCCTAGTCAACTCATAAATGTGGGTAAGAGAATAAATGATTCATTGTCTTAGGCCACTGAGTTTGGAGTGGCTTGCTATGAAGCATTACTGTAACAAAACTGATAGATACATGTTGTAATACTAAACATAGTACACTCAACAGACACTCAATAAATTGTACAAAGTTGATTTAAGTAAAAAACAACTGTAATCACAATACTGATAATTGTGCTCCCTTAAAGGAAAAAAAATATTAGCAAAAAATAATGTTATAAGACCCCCAGCTTTTTCATTGTCAGAAACAGGTGATTCAAAAACCAGCACCTTGGAGGAGGGTGGGACAAGATGGTGGAGTAGGGAGATCCTGGGCTTGCCTCTTCCCATGAACACAAACCATAATTACTACTTCATATAGAGAAACTATGTCTGAGAATAACATGAATACTAACAGAAAAGTTTTTCCACAACTAAAGACAAAAAGGAAAAGCCACACTGAGATGGCCAGGAGGGGCAGAGACATGGTCTGGCCAAGACTCATACTTGCAGTGCTGCAGTCCATCAGTAGGAGGGATATCACAGCCTTGGAGGTTCTCCCTGAAGACCAAAGGTTCTGAATCCCATATTGGGCTCCCCAGCTCAGGGGACTTGCACTGGGAAGATGAGTCCCATAGTATCTGGCTTTGAAAACCAGAGGGTCTTACCTCCAGGTGAGTCAGAGGAATATAGGAAACAAAGACTCTGCTCTTAAAGCATGCATGCAAAACCTGACTTGCTCCTAGTCCCAGCACAGAGGCAGCAGTCTGAAAAATGACATGATGGAGACTCACTGACTAAGTCTAAGTGCATGTGCCCAAGGGGCATGGGTCTGTTGAAACTTTCTCTGGGGATGGAGAACCTGGTGGGCACCAGTTTGTGTGTGTGTGGCTCATCCTCTATGTAGATGGCCTGGTACTGAGAGGAACCATTTCTGAATCTCCCCAACTAACCTGTGAGCATTCACCTCACCCCAGGCTCACCTGTGGACCCAACAGAATCGGCACCCCTCTAAAGTGTCCCCCATTCTGCCAGACCCAGCTGCTATCCTCAGTTGGCAGTGGAGCCCCTCCAAAGCGGCCCCCTTGCCCTGACAGACCTGATGTGCACCCTCGGCTGGCAGCAAAGCTCCTCCAAAGTGGACCCACACCCTGCCAGTCGTTGCAGGTGCTCTTAGCTGGCAATAGAGCCTCTCCAAAGTGGCTGTACACCACACCAATTCTGGCTGGCACTAAAGCCCCTTCAAAGTGGCCCAGTGCCTTGCTAGTCCCACAGGAGCTCCTCCAAAGTGAATACTGCCCCTAGGGCTGGCACTGCACACTAGAGTAAATACAATAGTTGCACCCAAGCCTTACAGCCACGCCGACCAGGAGCCAGCTCTGCACACTAGTGCAACCACAAGAAGCGTGGCCCAGACAACAGGAGAACACATGCAGTAGAACACAGGGGACACATCTGGAGCACCTAGCTCTGGTGACCAGAGGGGAATGTGCTACTGAGCCACACAGGACACCTTCTACACAAAGCCACTCCTTAAAAACAGGGAGATGTAGCTAATTTACCTAATACATAGAAACAAACACAGAGTTAGGAGAAATTGGGAGACAAAGGGATGTGTTTCAAACAAAAGAATAAGACAAAAACGCAGAAAAATAACTAAACAAAACAGAAATAAGCAATCTTCCATATAAGGAGTTCAAAGTAATGATCATTAAGATACTCATGGAACTCAGAAAAATGGAGGAAAACAGTGAGAACTTCAACAAAGAAAAAATATTAAAAATGTAATCAGAGCTGAAGAATACAATAACAGAAATAAAAAATAAACTAGAGGGAACCAGCAGCAGATTATATGATGCAGAAGAAAAAATAAGCAATCTGGAAAACAGGCTAGTAGAATTCACCCAATCAAAACAGCAAAAAGAAAAAAATGATCAAAAAACTGAGGATGGGGCTTCCCTGGTGGTGCAGTGGTTAAGAATCTGCCTGCTAATGCAGGGGACACAGGTTCGAGCCCTGGTCTGGGAGGATCCCACATGCTGTGGAGCAACTAGGCCCGTGACCCACAACTACTGAGCCTATGCATCTGGAGCCTGTGCTCCACAACAAGAGAGGCCGCGATAATGAGAGGCCTGCGCACCGTGATGAAGAGTGGCCCCTGCTTGCCACAACTAGAGAAAGCCCTCACACAGAAACAAAGACCCAACACAGCAAAAATAAATAAATTAATTAATTAAAAAAAAACCAACTGAGGATGGTCTAAGGAACATTATAATAACATCAAGCATACTAAAATTCACATTATAGGTCTCCCAGGAGGAGAAGAGAGAAAGAAAGGGACAGAAAACCTATTTGGACAAATAATGGCTAAAAATTTTAGAGAACTTCACTTTTCCTAACCTGGGGAAGGAAATGGACCCCCATGTCCAGGAAGCACAGAGTCCTAAGTAAGATGAAATCAAAGAGATCCAGTCGAAGACAGATTATAATTAAAATGTCAAAAGTTAAAGGGAGAGTCTTCAAAGCAGCAAGAGAAAAACAATTTGTTACAAACAAGGGAGCCCCATAAGACTATCAGCTGACTTTCCTGCAAAAACTTTACATGCCAGAGAGAATGGCATGACATATGCAAAGTACTTAATGGAAAAAAAAAAAACAACTTACAGCCAAAATACTCTATCTGGCAAGGTTATTAGGAACTGAAGGAGAAATAAAGAGTTCCCCAGACGAGCAAATATTAAAGGATTTCACAGCCACTAAAACAAACTCACAAAATAATGTCAAAGGGAACTTTTTTAAACAGAAAAAAAAAGACTGTACTAGAAATATAAAAATTATGAAAGCAAAAATATCCTTGGTAATGGCAAAAATAGAGTAAAGGTAGTGAATCAACCACCTATATATAGTATGAAGGTTAAAAGACAAAGCTAGTAAAATCTTATATATCAACAATGATTAGTTAAGGAATACACAAAATAATTGCTTTACAATGTTGTGTTAGTTTCTCATATAAAAAGGTGTTAAAGATGACATCAAAAACATAAAATGCTGGGGGTAAGGAGTAAAAATGTAGTGCTTTTAGAATATGCTCAAACTTAAGCAACCATCAACTTAAAATTGACTGCTATATACATAGGTTGTTATACAGGAACCTCATGGTAACCAAAAACAAATAATAATTATACAAAAAATAAGGATAAAGGAATGTAAACATAATGCTAAAGAAAGTCATCAAATCACAAGGGAAGAGAGCAAGAGAGAAAGAAAGTAACAAATAAGAACAACAAAAATAACAAGAAAACAATTAACATAATGGTAATAAGTACAAACATCAATAATTACTTTAAATATAAGTGGACTAAATGCTCAATCAAAAGACATATGGTGACAATGTATATATTAAAAAGACACATATATATATATGCTGTTTACAAGAGAATTACTTCAGAGCCAAAGACACACACAGACTGAAATTGAGGGGATGAAAAAATGGTATTCTATGCAAATGGAAACAAAAAGAAATCCAGGGTATCAATACTTATATCAGAAAAAATGGACTTTAAAACAAAGACTGAAGCAAGAGACAAAGAAGGACATAACATAACAATATAGGAATCAATCCAAGAACATATAACATATGTAAGTATGTATACACCCAACACCTAAATACATAAGCAAATATTAACAAACATAAAGGGAGATATTGCCAGTAATACAATAGTAGAGGACTTCAACAACCCACTTACATCAATGGTTAGATCATTTAGACAGAAAATCAATAAGGAAACATTGGCATTAAATGACACCTTAGACCAGATGGCCTTAATAGATATATACAGGACATTCACTCAGAAACAGCAGAATACACATTCTTGTCAAATGAACAGGGAACATTCTCCAGGATAGATCACAAATTAGGCAACAAAAGCGTCTCAATAAATTTAAGAAGATTGAAATCATATCAAGCACCTTTTCTGACCATAACTGTATGAGTCTAGAAATCAAGTCCAAGAAAAAAGCTGTAAAAAAAAATATGTAGAGTCTAAACAACATGTTACTAAACAACCAATGGCTCATTGAAGAAATCAAAGAGGGCTGAAAATGCCTGGAGACAAAAATGGAAACACAACATTCCAAAAATCAATGGGTCAGAGCAAAGGCAATTCTAAGAGGGAAGTTTATAGCAAAACAAGCCTACCTCAGGAAATAAGAAAAATCTCAATTATGCAATCTAATCTTATACTTAAAAAAAAAACTAGAGAAAGAAAAAACAAGGCCCAAAGTTAGTAGAAGGAAGAAAATAATAAATCAGATTG